AGAACATTAAAAAAAACGAAATTATTATAGTCATTCGATAGCCCTAAATCTCCTCTTGAAAACTCGTACAAAGTTCCGAAAAACTTTCTACGAAACAAATAACAAAAGTTGTGAAAAATTAGAGTTGAGTCTAAAAAATAATCGTGATCTATCCACAAGTGTCGTAGGTCCCTAGAGCTAATTTCTCGTTGGATTCTCCTTTGGGGAGACCCAGTCGGCCCCGTCGTCAGGGACATTTCTTCTTCGGTTTTTCTTCTTTTTCCCCCAAAAAGCACTCCGTCTAGACCCAGGCCGTTCTGACGAGAATAGACTGAGGAAGAGATCGGGGCAAGAGAGGGAATGGACGAGAATCTCTGGGCGCAATTCGGGAGGCAAAGAGATGCAGAGTTGGGCGTATTGCCAGCGAGTGCTGCCAGCCGTTCCCCTCGCTTTTCCCCATCAACCCCCGAGGCGATATTCCCGAATTCCGGCGTTCTTCTCTACACTCTTTTTGCCTCGTTTTCTTTTTGGGGAGGGGAATTGGCGAAGAGCCAGTAGATGGGGGAAAGGATCGATGGAAGGGGAAGGAGGAAGGAGACCTTCTAGGGACACAGGACAAGAGAGAGGCCAAAAGAGAGGCCAAAAGAATGCTCTTTTCTCAAGTGAAAGCCTTCAAGGGGAATTTCCCCTCCACTTTCCTCTTTTCCCCTTTTCACCGAGAAACCCTAATCGTATATTTTAGTAGTATTTTTGAGGTCCCCCACGTGAAGCCCGGATTTTCTTTCCAAATTCGGAATTTTTCAAAAAGAATCCTGAGATCGGATATGGGCTTTGATTCTGTTTTGTATAGAGCAACGCGGCTTACTGGACTAATAACTAGACTTTATCTAGAGCAACGACTAGACTATTCAAAGCACAAATTTCGACTCCACAACCGTACTCCCGATTGGACCTCACAAATCTGTGAGGTCTCTGTTACCTCACAAATCTGTTGTACATCTAGATAAAATTATCTAGGAGGTTCTGCTTTTAAGACACAAAATTTAGACCAGAGCTGACAATGACAATGATATCATTGCAAAATTGGGTTCTTAGATTCAAAAATGATTGTACAAGTCATTGGGCAAGTGTTTGAACAGCTCACTTATCCACATCTTTAATAATCTGGAGTTGTGAATCATGTGCCCGTTGGCAAATCACCCAATTTCATCAGGGCTCGAGAAAAAAAAATGAGGCTCAGTCGTGGAAAAGAAAGGAAAAGGGAATGGGATCATTGGCAAGCATTAAGAGGCTAAAAAAGGAAGTAAAAGTAAGGGGAAAAGGGAAAAGGATACCAGATGACTTCCTCCTTTTCCTCCTCCTCACCCTTCTCACCCCATTTCCCTTTACCCCGAAATGGGTAAATTTTTAATGGAAACCCTTTCTTTTTTGCTTTTCTTTGCCATTTCTTTGTTGTCTATATTCCTCGTGAGTTTGTTTGTGGAAACAAGTTGCCCCTTGCCATTTCCCAGGATTTCCCTCTCTTCTGTACTCTCTTGTAGTTGGGCCCAATCCTAATTTATTGCCAAAATTTGTTTTCCCCGCATTTTTCTAGAAATGCGCGAAATTTTAGCGGGAATCCTCAAAAGAGAAAAAAAAAGACGGCCCTGTCTGCCAAAAATGAGAAAAAAAAGCGAAAAAGAGACCGATCTTTGTTTTGTCTACCAAAGGGGAATTTGGAAATCTGTGAAAATTAAATGAAAACGAATTCCGAAAAAGAGATTATCCGATTTTGGGGTGGTCAATGTAAATAAGAAAAGAAAAGAAAAGGAAATATTGAATAAATGTCTGCCTCTTTGTTCATGGAAGCCCCAAGAATTTGTGATCTTCGGTGAGAAATTATTTGGGAACCTATTCGACAACCGTACTTTCGCAAGCTCAACCAAAATACCGTACTTTCGCAAGCTCTAATAAAACCCACAGTATACAGCGATTATACAAGTTTATCATAAAAACTTTTAAGCTTAGATTTTGGCGACAATCTTCTGTATAATTTGGCTATAGTGCACTGCAACTACAGTAAACTGTTGCAAATTTTAAAGTACAACCAAAGGACCGTACCCGACAAAGCCGTCGTCTAAAATGCAGCTAAAGTACAGTATAAATGATCTAGCTCTGAAACAGCTTATACAAGCTAGAGTATCCAAATCGCCGGCTAAAATGCAACCAAAGTATAGTGCTGATCTAAAGCCAGCCAAACTACGAAAAGTACAGTATCCTCTAAAGCTACAGTAAACGGGGTGCTAGTAAATCTAAAGGGCAACCAAAGTACAGAGAAGTGCATTATAGTTTTGGTTTGTGATCACCGAATGGGGATCAGTTTTCTCGTTTGCATTTGGCACAGTCTCAGCCTCTTTTCCTCACTTCAACAATCCCCATCAGTTTACAGCGATTGCTCTGATCTTTTGCAGAAGAAAGATCTCTCTTCGATCTCTTTCCAACACTCTTTGTCAATCCTTTTTCCCATCTAAAAGCCTCGAAAAAGAGAGCCGGCTGGTCTTTCCCCTTTTTGAAATGACGTGTTTATCGGGTGGGATTCTCGGAATGTTTTCAGAAGTTTTTGGTTCCTCTATAACCGACACGTGATTGATTTGATGTTATGTGTTTTTTTGTGACATCATGGAATGTATGCTATTTAGCTATTTAACTAAAAATTAGTTCGACCAGATGGATCGGTTTTGATCAGTTGATCAGTGAAAAAAAAGATTGCCATTGGGTTACGAAGTTTTTTTTTGATATAAAAATATCTATAAGCTACTTTAACAAGTCGTCAGATAGATTTAGCTTTATGCATATGTATTTGATAGGAAAAAAATTCGCTCTAATTTCTAGGAATGGCTCAGCTCGAAATCCCAAAAAACTCCCCCCAAAAAAAAACTCTGTAGTGCATTTTCTTGTCATTCTCTGTGGTGGCTACTGTGTAGTGGCATTTTCTTTTCAAAAAAAAAAAAAATTCGGATATAGTTTATTCTGAAGGGATTTTTCTGTATATTGGTTTTTTCGCGGAGTGATCACATCACCCACTCTCATCAATGAAAAAAAAAGGAAACGACAAAACACAAATGAATTCAAAAATTGAATGGATATGAATGGAAATTTTTGGGGGAAAAGACAATAAGAAACACAAAAAGAAAAGAAAAATGAGATAAAATAAAAAAAAATAAAAAATCTGTGGTAATAAATATCTTTTGAAATTTTTGAGAGAAAAAAAAACACTTTCTGATACAATTTTTTGCTCACGTTTTTTTTTCTGGATTTTGGGTACACCTTTCCTTGCTTGGCAATATATAGCCAAAGAAATGATTGAGGCTCATTTTTTTTGGTTCTTAAAAAGTGCCTACATTCATTTTCTTGACTACAGTAATCCGAGAAAAAAAAATTTGGTTTGAAAGAGAGAGAGAAAGAAAGAAAGAAAGAAAGAAAGAAAGAAAGAAAGAAAGAAAGAAAGAAAAAAAAATAGTGCATTTTATTTTTCGAAAATGAAAGAGAGGGGGAAAATCGACAATAGAGTTTACACCCATATATCAGAAGAAAGAAGAAGACATTTCTAGATATAATAAATTAGATTTTGGATGATTTAGAGCTAAAAAATAGATGTGAAGGGAATAACCGACATTTCAACAATGTGCTGAGCAAAGTTAACCGGGGGTCAAAGGGGGAAATGAATTGGAGAGAGATGGCCGAAGGAACTTTGTGGCTTGAGTGGCTTCTTGCAAAGTAGTAGAAATATATACTTCTACTACTTTGCAAGAAGCCACTCAAGCCTTTATGTCTTATGTATTATGGGCAATCTCTAGCTAGAAGAGCTTCTTTGCTGAACATTCAACATTCAAACACTTCGACCCATTTCCTATAGTTTCCTAAAAGGTGCTTATTTCCACCTCTCTCCAAATCATTAACCAAGTTAAAAACGTGAAAAACGAAGGGGAAACTACCGTTTTGGCTGATGAAAGAGCGAATAGAAAAAAAAAAAGAAAAAATATATAATAAATTTGCACACACAAAATAATATCCATATCTAGAAGGGTTAAATAAATAAGAAAAGATACGTACAATATATTTAAGAAAAGGAAAAAAAGAAAGATACACAAAGTACAGTACACTCGATTGCCGGGAAATGGATAGAGCTCTTTGATACACTGTATATTGGGGATATTCACGAGAGAGAGAGAAAGGGATCCTTAGCAAGAGAAACGTATGTATATGTCAAGAGTACTTGGGGGATTCTTCTATAGTGGAAAAGCTACTGTGATCTTTTAAGCTATATTGTGGAAACCGTAACAGGTAAAGGATTGATCATTCGATGGATTGGATTGTTCTATCGAGTGGCCAAGCTACAAAGATCAGAATGGCCAAGCTTTCAACTCCAACTCAAAGCAAACCCATTTGATCTATCGTAGTAAAAGTAAAGTATCAACAACGCTTAACAGCTAAAGTCCTTTAACATCTAAAGTCCCTTAACATCTAAAGAATAGATCATTTTGCATACCGTAATCTTAAAAATCCCTCAAGTACTCTCATAGAATATATCGAAAAGAAAAGAAATAAACGAATAAACAAAAAATTCTTATGTACAATTGCAATTTTGAAATGAAAACACAAGAGAAAAGCTGTAGATATCGGATTGGGGTACACGAAAGAAAAGACTATGTACAAGGCTTCGTCCTTCACAAGGACAAACTCTTTAGCTCAAAGAATATAGATTGACTCTGGGATTGTTTCAGTAATTTGATTTCTGATATCTGATTTATCCAATCCTAGTGCCATTTCTCCCCCTCAAAGGGGACCTCTATATGGTTTTTTTTGGGGATACACAACCGCGGAGAGATCTCCAAGAGCCCCTATACAAATGGATACAAGAAGTCGATAATAGGGAATACTTTTCAGATACTTTTATCTGTTTTTGATCTCTTTTCATACATTTAGATCTTTTGAAAGGCTGCCAAATGGAGAGAAACGAATCGATGAAAATGAAAGCGTTAATAGGAGCCTAGAATTAGGGCACCCTGATGAGCGCCTGACCCAGAAGTGGGTGGAGAAGTTGAACAAGTGCCGTAACCTGAGGAGCCGGAGGAGAGCATAGAGTTAGCGCATGGATTCGAGCCGACCGAACCGGTGCGACGGTGTGACGGAATTGAACGGCTTTGTTGAGCGGCCATGTACTGAGCACGGGTTTGCTCGCTTTTCCGTTTCACAGGAGACGTTGAGTAGTGCGATTGGGTGTAGTTGAGAGAGGTTGGCTGAAAGAAAGCAATTTGAATCTCTTCAGGTTTTGTTAGAGTCTAATGCTCTAGATCGCTACATCAGCTTTGCTACAAATAGTACTCTATAAAATCTTGCCACGAACCTCGTGCTGTTTCATAGCTTTCTCGCTGGGTCTCGGCCGGTGTTGTTCTTCGACTTTCGCCTCTACAATCTCTGGTTCAGGAATGTCAACCGGTTGCGATGATGGAGCCATTTGAACTTCGGATCCATGCTGTGGCACGCGAGGCTTTCGTTGTTGAGACGCTTGATTGACGAGTCGATCGGGCACCGATGCCAGTTTATGCCTTGATCCATTCAATTCTTGTGGTGAAATATGTCGGCTTGGCTCTCCGACCATCATCCACGGATGTTCTAGAAGGGATTCTAGCACTGGTCGAGACGGTCCCTCAATAGCCAAGCATTTCCGGATCAAATCCTTGCACACTAAAGTTAGGAATAAGTTAAACTTTGACTTTTTCTAGACTTACAATCAGAGATTGGCCTTCTCCAGTGAATCGATCCGCCGATAATATCAGAATCTCTTCTGAACGGGATATCCCCGCAAACCATATCGTACAGCAAGATTCCCAGTGACCACACCGTTGCCTGAAGGCCATCGTATCGAGATTCTTGGATCCATTCCGGTGGACTGTAAACGCGGGTACCTGAAAGTTAAATCTTAGATCTTTTCTTTTTGTGTTGACACAGAGACGAACATAATTCTTGTAAAGGCACGCGCCCTCTTCCCTCGTAAAAGAAGTCCTTTAGTTGGAAAAAGATCGGGTGAAATGGGTGCCACCCATCTCCAAGGCCGTTCTAGACCTCCCTTTTTCCGAGATAGGATCAAATGGCTCCCATACAGTCTTTCTCCCCACATTCCCATAGCCAGAGTGCAAATTAATGATGTTGAAAGGCTCATAAATCCGATGTTAGCTAAAGTTTTTGGGAGTTGACCCCGGTGGCGCAACTGGGAGCCACCAGATGCGGCGGAATTTGAACCCGGGTCACCGCCCAGAGTTCATCCAATACGGTCACCTGGCCAACTCTGGCCAACCTTTGCACCACCTGCCCTTTCCTAGAGCTGAAGCTTTCCCGCATCTTCTTAGTCTTGGGTCAAATCCTTTCCCCCAAGCTTCCATTCAAACTCATTTGCATATTTAGTGAATAGCCAGCTGCTAATGAACCCCTTTCATCGATTCTTTTGCTCAAATTGATCTCAGGAATGCAACAGTTCTCTCTTTTCTTCAACTGACTGCTTCAATATTTGCACACTCTCGACAGTCTTCCCCCCGCTTTCGTGCGCTGCTGAGTGGCCGCTTTAGCTCTTTAGCTGGAGGTGAGAGACCCAGGGAAATGCTTCGAAATGACTTTGTCTTCGAAATTTGGGCAACCCTTCAGCTCTTTTTTTGGTGATGACGTCAAGGGCAGGAGAAACAAATTCGTAGAGGGAAGCTGAAATGCTCTAGGCTGAAAGGAGAGACCGGTCTGGGAGGGAGAGCTTCCCCTTCCCCTCTCTGCTCAACTATTGCGAAATTCGAGTCACGCGCCTTGCCAAGCCGCTCACGTGGTCCCCTCTTTCAAATACTCGATTCAAATTTTACCCTATCCTTTGTCTTTATTTGCAAAGTTTATTTGATGACGAGGGGCTTATTTTGAGGAAATCGGGAGATTTGCGTAAGCACTCGCACAATAATTTGTTGACTTTTCCCCTTGGCTAGCCATTCTGATTTGTGGAATTGTTTTTGAGGTAGAAGAAAAGAAGATGACCTCAATGTTCTCAGCTGATCGCTTGAGATGGTTGTTTACGAGAGATGTCCCCATTCCCCTTTTGCCAGTTCTCCCCTTCTCCCCACCGGGTCACGAGAGGTCACTGCTGCGCGGGAATCAGCCTCTATAGGTATATTATTGGTAAAGGAAAAGGAAAGCGTCGACCAATTTTGGCAACTCAATGAGGCTAAGTTTTAAACGGGAAAACAGATTGTGTTCTGTGAATTTGGTTCTCAAGCCAAGCTCCTGGTTCTGAAGCCAGCTGGAAATCTTGAATAAATTCCAATGGAATCGTTGATCAGGATCAGAAAGGCTGCTTCTCAAGCCAGGATTAAGATTCAGAGAGTTTCAAAATCCTTTCAACCCATCTAAACCGGTACGATGACTTTCATTGACCGTTCGCTCGTTCACCTTTCACCTATCCAGAGAAAGGTTTTGAGCTGTCAAGGCTGGCACGCGACCAGCACGATCTGTCTTTGAGGGTCTGTCTTTTCTTGAAGGGTCTCGGGGGTCACGTACCACCCGCGCATCCCCTACTCGAACCCTTTCCCCTCCCCCCATCCTCTATTCTTTTGTGTCTGATGGCACATTTGCTCTCTTTCGTCCCCTCTACTCTGGCTTGGGGCCAATTCCGAGTGTCTGAGAGAAAAAGAAATGCAAATGCAAAACACATGATGGAGAAGAAACCGGAAATGTATGCAAAGTGGAAGGAAAAGAAAGAAGAAAATAGACGTACCCTCGAAATCGGTGTAGGAGCCGGGACGGGCAAAAGCCCCGCTGCCAAAGTCGATCAACTTCAGCTGAGCGGTCTTCAGATCAACGACGAGATTCTCATCTTTTATGTCTCGATGGAGGACGCCGTTTCGAGAACAAGCGATCATTGTCTCAACAACCTGAAAAGGACTTCATTAATAACTAATAACTAATAGACTTTTGATTACAGTACCCCCTGCCACAGTAGACTACAGTACACTGCTACAGTATGCCCAACCTACATGTACTAGATCTAGTAGACTAATAGACTACAGTACTCTACATACCTGTTTGAAGAAATTCCTGGCCACACTCTCGTGAAGGGGTCCATGATCGGAGATATAATCGAAGAGATCGGTGCACGGCGATGGCCGTTCCATCACGATCACGAAACCATCATTCCTCTCGAACCAATCCAACATCTGAATGACACCGCTCACGTCTTGACACCGCTCTAGCAACACGATCTCCACCGGCACCTGGCGGTTGTCCATCTGAAATCGAATTTTCAATTCTAATTCTAACTCTTTGAATTCTACAGTATATTTTGCTAGTCTATTGCATGGTGTTCTCATTTCCCTGATGGCTTTTTCCTCACACCGGTATTCACAGGATCCCATTGTGCCACCAATTTACTATCGTCTTTTCGGTCTTCAATCTTTCCTCCCTTGTTTTTCTCTCAAATTGATCAGCTGGAAAAGTCACGCGCTCAAGAATTTGCTTCAATTGAGTGAATGAGAGAAAAGGAGAAAAAAAAAGAGAGAGACATTGACCGCATTTTTTTTCTTTTCCCAAACACCCACTTTTTCACATGAATTCTTTTAGTGAACGGAGTTCTCTTAGAGAGACTGAAAACGTGTCTTTCCTCTTTTCAACCCGTTTTGGTGTTGGCCAAGGCTCGCAGGCTGGCCGAGGAAATGCTGGCTGAGTCACGCGGTACATTCACCCGATTCAAAGACACGGCTGATGGGGGCAAAGCCTCTGACTAAGCACATCTAAGCGAAAACACATGCGGGAGGAAGGTCATGAATCAGCTTCAAAAAAAAAAAAAACGATTTCATGTTGCATAGGGCATGAGAATGTGTTTTGTGTTTGAGGTTTTGAGTGGGAGGGTTTTCAATGAGTTTTTCAAATCTAAAAAAAAAGACTCACATGATTCCAGGCGGTGACATTCGGTCGAGAGACAAATTTGATCGCTACGGGCAATCCGTCGGCTTGTCGAAAGCCAGAGTAGACAGTGCCGAAGCCACCTCGACCCAATTCAGCGCCGAGCTTGTACAGTCGCTTGAAGTGCGAGTAGTCGTGCGCTGGAAACGTCTCATTACTTTCAATTTTTCATTTTCTTCAATTTTCGATCCCTGATTTATAAATGAGATTGCTTCCGGACTAATCAGGAAAAGTTTTTCGGGGTTTTCCCCTATTTGGACACACAAAGCACAACGATAGGAGTGATAAGGAAAAATTGGGGAAAAGAAGAGAAGAAATGGTGATCGGAATGAATGTATTCTGTCATTGGGATTCCCCACATCACAGCTTCTTCTGATAAACTTTTTGAGAAGAAATAGAAGCAAAAAAAGTAAAGCTTAAAGGCTCAAAAAGGGAAAATCGATTTAAGAGACACTTGAATACGTTGAAGATCTAGATTTGCCTCTTCTGTATTTAATTAGGGAAAGGTACTATCGCATTTCAATTCTTAATCCCATTCCCAACTCCAAGAACAAGTACAATCGATTCCTCTATTTGATGACCTTTCCTTGGTCAGTCAGCTACCCAATTGCTCTACTCGATTGACCCCAAGACGGTCTAGGTTATCAAACGATCAGAGAAGAGATAGGTTAGATCTTTCTTTCTGTCCTGATAACCAAGGCTGAGCCATAGAAGACAAGGAGGACTGGGGGCCATCACTCATCCTCCGAACCAGACCCTCTCCATAGAAAAGACTCCTCGCGTCTCATGCACAGATCACTATCTATGTGCTTTGAGGGGATCGAGCTCGTCCTTTCTTCTCTTCCCTTCTTCTCTTTCCCTTTCCTTTCCATCTCCACATTCCACCAATTGCTAGCTTTTTTTCTTAGCTTTGCGATTCATTTTGGAGACTTTCAAAGGAATTCGACAATGATCAAAAAACGAGTGGCTAATTGGTGAGAATGAGAGATTTGTAAGCGGCTGAAAAACGGTGCGCGTACTCGAGAGAGTTTGCTGAGGAAAGGCGCGTGACGAAATCATTTTTGCCAAATACAGGATCGCTTACCCACACAAAAATAGTGACTCTCTTTAAATGATCAGGTGCAATGCAATGATCTGGGGTAGACGTTAGGTAAACAATCCGCCTCGGTAAACTGTGACACTTTGTGTGGTAGGTGAGGGAAGGGGAATCATCGTGTGATGCAATCGACATCTTCGACAAACTGCATTCTCAAAAAATGGTGAGGTTAATCGTTTTTGACTCTTGTGTTCAAAAATCGTTGAAACCGTTTCGTCACATGACTTGAGCGTATGCGTAAGGGGAAAAGATCAAGGGGGAAAGAGGAAAAGGAAAACGAGGGTGCGCGTGAGCGGCGAGAGCTGGCTCACCGCCAAAACCCCCCTCTTTTCCCCCCAATTCTCTGACACATTCACTCAGCTGTGCCGAGCTTTGAAATGCTCACAAGTGTGTCTGGGATTCTTTCTCTAAAACCTTAACCATCTCACGTATTGTCACACTGTCACACATCAAAACATCTCTCAATAAAAGAGTAGTTTCTATTGGTGGTTTGTGCTCATAAACAAATCACATGAGAGAAACCTGTTCTCGGATTTTTCACCTGATATTTGATATGTGTTTTTTTTTCTCACACACAAAGGTGAACGCCTAATCATAGGGGATTAGTGGGAGAATGGATTGAAAGGGGAAAAGCTGTGTGTGTGTGTGTCTGTGTAAATCAACGGGATCAGCAAAAAAAGAGAAGTCCGAGGAGAGGAAGTGGTTTTTGGCTCGTTTTAAAGTGTGCTCGTTTTCCCCGAGAGAAAGGGTTCGCGAATGTTCGATCGGCGGAAAGGGGGAGCTGATGGAATGCAAGCGGGTGATCGATTCACCCCACTCATCCCCCGATCAATCGACTCTCTATCTGTGTCTCCCCTTTCAAAATCGGCTTTCACTTGCTAATTGGAAACCTCAACCCTTTCCCCGTTTTGATCATTGTGAACCCAGTCAGGTGAGTGAAACCTTAGATCAAGTCTAACATTAGATTTGAATTTTTCAAAACAAGTATACGACTGGATTTCCCCAAATAATTGCCGGGTTTCTAGGGGATAAATTAGAGTGAAATCGAGAGGGAATACAAAGACAAATAGTGGGAAAACAAATTCAATCTGAAAGGGGAATGGGTTCAGGGAAAGCTGGGTCTCAAAAGGAGGAATGGGCCATCCCGGGTGCTCCCTAATTAAAAGGGTCCATCCAAAATGCACACCACCACAACCAAACATGACCAGCATCATCAAAACCCCGAAATTTCAAACCCATAACAATCTAGAAAGTTCAGGAAAGAGGAAACTAGAACTTTTGAGGATTGAGAAGCAGTACTTGAGCTAGAAGGCAGATCTTGTACAGAACTTGTTGATATTCTAAGAGCAATCGATTAGACAAAGAGTAGAACTTGATGAGTAAGATTTATATCAAAATTAATACCTTATCTAGTCTGTCTAACTGCTAGATTAGGAAGAAATTGATTGGACAATGATATTGCTTTAAGACTTGTTCCACCAACCTTGCGTTCTCGCCTCACTTCCCGATGGGACAGCTGATGAAATGGTCATCTTTCGGAGTCGCGTCTTTAGCATTAAACAATAATGTCAGCAAAATAAATGAAGAAATCTGGAACACGCCAGCCGATGTAGAGGAGTTGAACTCTCTCTCTCGGCGGATCGTTTTCTGAAAGAAATTAATTTGATTAGAATAAAAAAGAAGAATAAAAAGAAGAAGAAAAAGAAGAAGAAAAGAAGAAGCTCTGATCTTATCTTCATAAACGATAAGAACAAGAGTTAAATCAATGATATCACAATTTCGAAAATAAAGCTTTGAGTGAGAGAAGATGAAGAATGAAAGAAGGAGATGGGGAGACGATCACCGCCAGCCATAGACACGCCCACATTTTTTGCGCGCCACGCTACTGCACAGAAGATTTGAGCCAGGACGGAAGAGCAAAAAAAGAGAAGGCTGGCGTGTCTCCAAGAGTGCCCCGCTCTTTTCCCCCAAAAGTTGTGTGCGCGAGTCGCGGATAGGGGCGGGATCTCCGCCTGGCACGGCTTAGGACGACCCCATCCAGGCAAGGAAAAGAAAGACCCAAGTGAGCAAGGGCGAGACTGTGCAGCATACAGTGCGCGCGAATATAGTGAAAAGATTGGGAAGACTGTAAAAGAGGGAGAGGCCGCATCCAAGCAAGTGGCGAATGGAAGAGGGGGCGGACTGGGTGGAGGGGAATGGAGGAAAGAGGAGAGGAGTGCGGGGAGAGAGAAGAGGGGCGGGCTCGGGCAACGAGCCAACACAGCCCATGTGAGAGGTGAGAGAGTGGGCGAATTGGGAAAAGGGAAAAGATTGGGGGAAGGGATCTCCGTTTGACGAACAATTAGTCGACACCCGCTTCTTTGAGGAAAGGGGCTCTCCGAGAATGAGTTGGAGATCAAAGAGGGTAGGGATCTTCTCTCAGATCAACAAAGAGAAACCCGGATCTTTTTAACAAAGAATGTTTACAGCTATTCGAAATTTTGCAAGCTTTACGTAAGCTTATTCGATGTTTTTGAGTGGCTATTTGGGAGATATTGCAAAGAACGACACGTGAGTGCGAATGGAAATCGTAAAAACAAATTTATGATGGGTGGAAGATGGACGAAGGCTTTTATCAAGTTCGGTTCAATCAGAACAAATCTTTCAAGACGAAAAAAAAAGATAATAACAAGAACATGTGAAATATTGAGAGATTAGGAAAGGAAAACGAGTTGGAATTGAGAGTTCAGTAGATAGGAAAAGCTGGGTGGAGAACCTGAAATCGAGAAATTTTCGAAAGCGATTCGTAAGTAGAACAAAAATTTATATAAAGTTCAATGGGTTGAACATCAAAAATGAATGGGTGAGCAAGTTGGAAATCTCGGAAACTCAGAGATCAACTGATCAAAGGCACATATTTGACTTTCTTCTCATAGTGTACTTTGCGCTCTCATGTACCCCACCCAATCTGGTGCACCAGATTCTGCAATCGGTTCGATCTAGTGCCCCAGAAAGTGGGTTTTTGCATGAGCACGGGTAAAAAGCATTTCTGATATTTAACACTTTGAATTGATCTAGCGAAATGAGAAACGCAGTGGTCAAGTACCAAATGGGCATTGTAATAAATACCGATTACCTGTACGTAGTTTTGTCGATTTCGAAAATGATCTATCATATAGAAAGACTGACACTGACTTGTTTGTATCCTCTTCTTCCTCTTCCTCCTCTTCTTCCTCTTCTTCCTCTTCTTCCTCTTCTTTTTCTCAGTGATATTTGTCTATCACGAGTTTTTACCCTCCATCGAAATAGTCATCAAAAAGACCCCCCTTTCTCTATCAGGAAAGCCGATTATTTCTAAAGGGTTTTCTAAAGAGAAGAGACACTCATTTTATGTAAATTTATTGTGCTTTGTGGAGTGGTACACAAAATGGGAAATGGGAAAGGAAAGAGACGATCATGGTGATGAAATCGATCTAGACACAGAAAGATAGACCATGGAAAAGGGACTGAAACTGTTGCAGAGCTGGGCAAGCATGTTCTAGCTTGTAAGTGAACCAAGTCAACAATAAAGTCAGGCTTGGTACCTGGGCAGATCGGGAACCCAAGGGCATCTAAACCAAGCCAGAGGTCCAGATCTGGCTCTGCACCTGGATCTAGATCTACTTTTACTGGCCTGATTGCAGTAAAGGCATTCCTGGTTTTGGATTTGGTCCAGGAAAATCTGACGATTGTCCTGGCTTGTCTTTCTAGATCTAGATATGTTATATCTAGTTACAAGCAGCTTCATCCAATACAGTCACCAGAAAATGGCTTCGAGTTCAGGTTCTTTTGATATTTTTGTGAATAAGAAAAATGAATAAAAGATATAGTTGATAAATGAAATTGTAATATTATAAGAAGAAATTAAGGTCAGGCTTGGTACCTGAGCAGATCGGGAACCCAAGGGCATCTAAACCAAGCCAGAGGTCCAGATCTGGCTCTGCACCTGGATTGTTGACAAATGAAATTGTAATATTATAGAAAGAAATTATATCATAGAAATGAAGTTTAAAATAACAAAATTTAATTGATTTTCAGAAACTGGAAACTGGAAAATAAATGTGATAAAACTTCTCTGAAAAGTTTCGAGTAAAAGATGCAATCAAGTTTTGTTTATTTGTTGGTTTGAGGTGGTCATTGGTTTAATATTGGGAAATTTTCATGGAAATTTGTACTAAAAATACAAAAACTTTTTAGATTTGAGGTTTTGAAAACTTTAGGCACATGGGAATCATTAAAAAAGCGACAAATGAAACATTTCAGAAGTTGGAAATTGGAAATTGGAAAATTTTTAAAAATCAAGCTCATCTTTAAGCTCAAAGATCGCTTAATCAAAAAAAATTCCTTACTTTTTCTATACAAAATCATGGTGGGTGGTCATTTATCATTTTAAATCATTTAAATCATTTAAATCATTTAAATCATTTAAATCATTTCATTTTAAATCAATCAAATCATTTAAAACAAAAAAAAAACAAGTGTTTTGTACTCGTGCCAAGTTCGAGATTGGTGAGAGAATTCTCAAGGAAGAAAAAGACAAAAAAACTCGACGCTATTTCAATTTTCTATACAAATTTCAAGAGATTTCTTCTCTTTTTTTTCATAAAACAACTTTTTCCCCATTCGAAAAACTTTTCCCGCATACCCTACGGACAATCGTATCCAGGTGGGATTTTGGGGGGATTGCTTTGGGATTTCAGCCCGAGGGCATACAATTCTTCAAGTGGCAAGTAAGGGTAATCGATTTGCCAAAGAAAAGCAAAGAAGATCATTCGAATCAAGCCAATTAGGGGAAAAGGGTGAACCACAACAAACAGTGAACCACAATTTACAAGTATTTGAATATCTTGAATATTCATGATATTCAAATACTTGTAAATATCCTTTAAAGTATTATAAACTCTCTCTTTTGTTTTCCAGATTAGAAAACAATGAGGACTATGTGGGACACAAATTGAGCAAATTCAATCAGAAAGAGTCAGACCGGAGCTCTCCAGTTCTAGAGTTTAATTCAAAATGAGCTGAATCGAAATGGGTCTAACTGTTGGACTGTTGGACTGTTGGACTAACTGTTGGAAAGGGGTAAAAAGGAAACCCAGGAAACATCGCAATCATCCCCCTTCAATTTCTATTTATTTGTTAGACTTTGATCATCGATTCCTCTGAAATGAATGCAAATCCTATATGTTTGGGACAATTCTCGAAGACTCAAAAATGAACATAGACATCCAAAGGGGAAACATGTTTATTATTTCAACTTTTCAAATAAAAAAAAACTCTATTCTTTATGGGGCTTTATTCTATGGATCAATTTGCATACAACCCAATCATTTAAAAATCAAAGAGGTCGATGATCACCCATGAAAACACTCTGTTTTTGTTATGATCAACGCAAAAACATCGATCGAGACGTCATCAGTCATATATTATAATATATTATCTATATTATCTATATTATATATCCAAATTCTATGAATAGAAGCACACATACAGGCAAAAATATTAATTCGCGACCACTCGACGATATTGGAAAATATTGGAAAAAATTTTGCCTGGGAAAGAGAGGAAATTAGAAAATTTGGGGACTTGTAAGAACATACAGCAGTTTAGGGATTAAATGGTAATGTAGTACTAGTTATTAACTAATATAGCCTACTGTACCAGTAGTACTGCAAGCTAGGGCTCAGTAGTACTGTAATCTGCAGTACTTCTTTGTTCTAGAACTGCTGCTTTAGCCTTAGCTTACTAGTAGTAATACTGTAAGCGTTTTACTCCCAGCTATTGAATTTCAAAGTTACAATCGAATTTAGATGTGACCACAGATCTACAGCAATTCCAATCTCATCAGAGATCATCAAACATAACGCTTTTTTCAAGATAGACATGGTTAAACGCCGAACTTTTGGCTCACTTTTGGCTAGGCAAGGACTTCACAATTCTTGCCTAGCCAAAAGTGATGGGAACGACAAGGCGATAAAAAGATGGGAAAACGATTTGAATTTCGATTAGAGTTTTTCGATGAAAAGAGGGTAGACGGGCCATAAAGGGGAACAGGGGAAGGCGATGGGAAAATGCGTATACAGACACACACTTCCGTTCATCGCCCCTTTCTCTTCCTCTTTCCTTTGCTTTCTCCGATTCTTCGGCCCGTTCATCGTTCGCCACTCTTTTTTTCTCTTTTCCTCTATAGACCCCGATCAGGGCGATCGTCTGGAGAAGAGTCCTTTCAAGTCCACACCAGCCCTAGCCCCCTTTAGGACTTGTTGCACTTGTAAGAGGACTGAGGATGACTTCAACCTTAAGTTCGCTACAAAACTCAAGTTGAAAGCTCAGCAACTCGCTTGACAAAGGCAATACAGAGTTTAACAGACCGCCAGACTTTTGTAGAGACAAGTTCGGAAACTGATTCTTAATAGTAAGTGCAGTTAGATTCTAGAAGACCCGCATGAATTGAACCAGTTGTGAATCTGAAGCTCTGGCTTTGAAGTTCTGAAGCCTGAAGTCTTCATTCGGCTACTGAAAATTGAACTCAAAGTGG